TTACATCCAGGAGGAGTCGTTTCACATCTTATACAACTAGTGATTTTGAAGTTTGAAAATGGAGTAATGATGGGGTTTTGTCTAAGGTATTGGTGTTGGTGATGTTCACTTGCAAACAAATGGGATGCAGGTTGCTTAAGGAGTTAAACATGCTCCAATGTTCACTTTAACTTGATTTCTGTCCAAGTACTTGATGATGGTGGATTTGTAACCACTTTGGGTTTGGAAGTGGAAGCTCACCAAAGGTAACTTGATTGTGGCTAAAGGGGAGAAAAAACTCTAAGCTTTACTGCCACTAAGACACAAAAAATAAAATGAAAACTTGCGTTCGCTATAACGCTTTGCGTTGCTAAGGTACTTGCGATTGTTTAGTAAAAGATGATATTAATTTATTTCGATCATCTCTGTGGACAGTAGAGGCACTGATCTGGCATACTCGCAAGTGACAAGGGAGCTTAACGTTTAGCTACAAGGAAACAGCATGACACTAAGTCACACACTATATTATCCTATGACTTGGAGGTTGTTAGTGATTGTTATACATCAGAACAAAGATGGTGCCTAGTTGAGTCACGTACTTAATTATTTTTCAGGTTATGAAAAACATTATACACTAATAGACATAGTAATTTCAGTATCTCCCGATCTTGCTCATTAATAAGTATTCCAAAAATCATGTAGTCACCTGTATCTCAGCCAATGCATTTCAAGTTAATGAAATAATTAAATTGAAGCAATTGATACGTTCATATTCAAACAAAACCAAAAAGATATTAAAGATTAATGACCTTGTGCGGTTACAAGGCTCATTATTTCCTCTGCTGCAATGTATGTCACTGATGGCTTGATTCTACTAATCTGCACCATTTCATATAATGTCATAACCAAAAGTTACCACAATATAAAATTTGAAAGGTTGAACAAAACAAAAGACCCATTAACTATGTTCCTCTGTACAGATTTAGACATCAACAATTTCCGAACTAATATAGAACACACTGCAAAAGGCATCCATGATTCACATGCCCAACTATGTTTATCCATATTGTAGTGATTAACTAATTATTTTGACAGTAGAATATTGAAATTTTTGCTTTCAGCGCATAGACATAGAAGGTAAAAAATCTACCTTTACTCAGTTTGTTCCATGATTATATTTACGTCACAGGAGAATCGAAGTTTTTAATTTAAGCCAGACTATGTTGTCTGCCTATATGGATCTGAAAAAAAGTCATGCGTAATTGTCTAACGTCAGATGATGACGCAGTATATTTTTTTCAGTACAAGATTTTTCGCAATTACACTGCACCTCAGATTGAGACTTAAAATTTATTGCAAGACCTAATTTCTGTGATATGACAGCTAACTCGATGCGTAAGCCAGGCCAAGATCCTATCACGATTCATGTCTAAAAGAATCATCTGATAGAGATACTCTATTTAATGCTGACCGCCTTTCCAGTTTTAATTTTGGTTTCAGATCGAGTCCATGGGAATTTCCAAATCTACCAAAATTGAAAGAGAGTAGATGACAATGGACAACTTTCTAGTATAGTAGAACAGTCAATACAGCTTCCCCCTGACCACGATAGCAAAAAGTTTGAATACAATAATGACTATAAAGAACATACCCTGTGAGAAACTTCTCGACATTCTTGAGTTGGTAGACACTGGTTGTTGCACGCCTTAGTGAGTCCTGTCACTAATGGTGTGTCTGAAACAAACATGCTTCCTCGTACATCTATTCATGTTTGTAATCCCCGAAATGGTATAAGTTGAACTTTCAAGTAAATCATAATAATGTCATAGACAATTAGTTAGTTGACCAAAGCTCAAATTAACACCACAACACTGAGTATCTTCACCTGCTTCACAAACCCATACGTACAATCATCGACTTGCTGGTTTGTTGTAAGAATCATTTTTAGTTCTAGCAGCTCTACATGTCAATTTACAACTCAGCCTCTGACTTTAAGCGTGGATTGTTATCATTACCACCCCTCAGTTTTATATAATAAGTAAACCTTGCACAGATATTGTATTACACAAGGATTACTCATTTCATACCTATTTTTCACTACATTCATAGTATCAAACTCAAGGATGAAACACATCAAGTAGCACAAGTATTAGTGTGGAGGGAGGGAAATGGATTTTAGATTACATAAATATAGTAGAAGGTAAACAGCTTAGTCCTTTAATATCGGCACTATTCAACTTGATAATGAATTGACAATGACCGATACATGTGCTCTATACAGCATGTGCCAAAGCATTTTTGGCCAGACTGAGATATGTTATAGGAATGGCTATGGAAGCATACCTTCACATGATCGGCCTGATGTATATTATGATAGTTTTTGAAATGCAAAGGACCATCACAGAATCTAGACACACATATTAAGCTATACGTGCTGTATATTATTTATCAATATAACCAATATCTTCTCCTTTCTTTATTGTTCAGATTTAGCATCTTGACTACATCACTATTAGTATGATATCAGACAGCCTGCTCTTCTTTGCAGAATACATACATCCTTGATCAATGAAGTTTTTCTTTCCCCCTAAACATGGTACATTATGAAGGGACAAAGGTTTGAAAATAAAACTGTGTAGTTCTACCAAAAGGTGCATATAGAAGAGAGAGACTAAATTAAAATGTCCATTCCGTGTCTAGTGCTATTCTCCACATAGGAAGGGAGTCCAATAACCCAACATGTTTTACTTTGTATCAGTGATTGTAATAATCAATTTAAGAAAGTAATTTGTAATCACCTTTTTAGATGATTTCGACTTGATGTAGGATCTATTTTGATGTAAACTAATATAAAATTTGTGTGTGTGGCTTTGCCTATTTTTTATTGTGTTTATTTAGTTGCTTTTAAAAACAATTAATTTTTACACATTTTATAAAGGATTAATACTTTGATATTTATTGGTACAACTTGATAAACTCAAGGCTTATTAAAAACAAGTTTTAAAAAGGTGAAAAGTTTTAAAAGTTTGGAACTTTCACTACAAAACCAATTTAACCCACCACCCTCCCCTCTTAGTTTTGTTCAACCTTTTCTTTTATTCTAATATTCTTTCTCTATAAATCCATTTAAAAAAAGTTGACTTAACATCGAGTTGGTAAATTTTTCATTCCTTTTGTATTATAATAGCTACACTATCCTAATGGTATATAGTCTTGTAATTGGTGTAAGAGTATGAAAGTAATCTATTCTAAGAATTTGAGCATACCCTTTCATAACGAAGAATGCTTTGTACTTCTTGATTGAATCATATTATGCAACTTTGTTTTAAACACCTATTTCACTTATGACTTTCCTATTTTTAGGCCTTTGAACATGTTAAAAGACTGTTTTTTTTCCTGATCATGGAAGGTTCCTCCTGCCTTGCGATCCTCCATTTAGGTTCCTCAATTGCTTTACGATAACTTGTAGGTTCTAGAACTGCTACATTGAATCGTAAAGAGATATATCTAAGAGCAATCTAGTGCATCATACAGGTGGATCATCAACTAGCTCATATTTATTTAGTAAAAGGTTAGCTATTGGCATTTGTAATTCAAAATATATATTAATTCATTTGTAATCATTACTAACGCACAACTTAAAAGATTATTACAAAATTCACAATATTTAATCACAAAATAGTTTATAATTATAAAATAATTTATAATTAGATATTTTGTGGACACTTCTTAAATATAAGAATTAATCTCCTAAATTTTTATATTATTTCAAAATGAAATTTTAAATATTAATAATTTTGTTTTATAATCACTTTAGTAAAATAAGTATTGGTATATTTCATTTTGAGTACAGTAAAAGAAATATTCTTAACATGTAAATTTTAATTCTTTTAAATTTTGTTTAAACTCATAATCGCAGTGTGTTTATTAAGAGAAAATTAATATTAATATACTGATGTATAATTAATCTTAGTGATTTTAAATTTATAAAAAATATATATATATTTCTTCAACATTGATTATATATTAACATTAAACTTATGTGTAAATTATTAAATCCTAAACTTTACTTAGGAAAATTACTTAAATCATTATGAAGTTCAAACTAAACTAAAAAGATTAAAGTTTTTGTATTGAAATTATTTATCTTTTATTATAGTAGAAATAAAATGTCAATATATAGTGTACCGAATCACTATTTACATAATAAAATAAAGCGTGAATATCAGTTTAGTATAATTATAAGAAATCCGAGTGTTTATTTTCAGAAAATTTAGGAATATCTAATAAAAGTAAAGGTAGGTATAATTTATTTATAAATTAAATGTTTTTACTACATTTCTTACAATAATAATCAGAATTATTCCTAGGTTCCACTACTAAAATAGTGTAGTGTAATATAAAAAATATAAAAGGACAAAATTTGAGTAATCTACATCAAACAAAAAGTAAGAATTAATAATGAAATAAAGCATAACATAATACTTTCTCGCTTGATAATTTTATTTATCATTCATTACATTTTTCTTCTCACCACGGCAATAAACAAAATTAGACTTCATTCTTCAAGCTTGCTTTCATTATTTTTAACTACCCAAAAAACAATATATTTTTACAAATGAAATATTATTTTTAATCAAGGAAACTTTATATTAATTTCAAGAAAAAATACATAAGTTTTCATTTTTCTACAAAAAAAAATGGTCATAGCATTTTCTTTATGATAACAATAGACCCCGTAATAAACTAATTGAATCTTATTACCACAGCGTCATTTTTTATGTTCTATAGTTATCTTGAAGAAGTCAGAAATGTATTGTAAATTCGTTTCATTCAGTTTGGGTCATTTCGGTATAAAATTGTTTGCCTGTGATATTAACTAACTCTAACTCCAGCTTGAAGTGCTTTTTCCACCCAAACTTTTGCACTGTCTGTATGAATAGGACACTTGAGATTATGAAATGAAATATTGGGGAAACAGATTAAAGACCAGGGCAGTGATGGAATGAAAGGAATATGCAAAAGTCAAATCAATATTCCTTTCTTCAACCATATTTGATCCCTTCTGTAGAACTCAAATTATAGTTTTTCTGGGTTCTACTGTCTAATACTCCAACCTTTATTGAACTCAACTTAATCGGCTCAACTAGAAACAAACGGACAATACGTAATTGGCGTGGTGGACACGTATCAATAGGCTACAAGAATTTATTTATCTAGAAATCAATAGGCTGTACATGTAACCATAACTTACAAACAAACCCTCACGTTGAGAATCACCTCAGATCTTCCAACATCTGGTGTGCTCTTAATTCATTTTTAAAGAAATATTTGCTTACTTTTGTCAACTTCTAGGAGCTTTGAAATATATAAAATTATTTCTCCAACTCCACTCCGTACCAAACGAGACAACAATTACTTGATGCAGCTAGCAGAATTTATCACTCAACATTTTCTGAAGCCATCAAATACGTCCAACTTATTCCACAGTTGCTTCCATACTCCATTCTGCTTATGCAGCAGAAAAACCTGTAACAATAGAAAGGTAGAAGTGAAAAACAAAGCAAAACAAGATGAACAATGTTCCTCCTTGTAGACAATCCGAAAGGTAGGAGTAATGTAGTATACAACAGAAAATTACATTACCACTGAACTAGATGATTTCTTTTTTCCCCAGCAACGAGCAGATTTGCGGACTTATCTAACAGAATGATACACTAAGATTCCCCCTCATCACGACCCTCCTTTTCCCATACATTCATCACAGTCCACTAATCAGTCACTAACACGTTTCCTCTTGGTCTTTCTTCTGGTGTAAACCTTGCAACTTTTGACCCACGCGACAATTGTTGAGCCCGTGTTTCTTTCTGGTCCCGCAACCCGTTTGAGGATCTACCAGGTTCACAAGTACCAATTCTCTGTTCAATCAGATGATAGACTGTTTCCGCAACGTGAATAATCACCATGTAAAAAAGCAACATTACCACTGCCCCAAGACTTGGTAAATCTTGAGTACTAAGCAGCAAAAAATAAATAAAATATAGATGATCATTTTTATACATTATGTGTTAGACAATAATAAGATCTTTATTCCGATCAGCTGCAAGATAATGAATATCCTAATTTCATGGGATTATTAAATATTTTGATATGAGGGATTTCTAATGTATCCAAAAACTATTTTGACGTTACAATATTTAGAAAAATGAAAAAAAAAAGATCAAATATCAAATATCAAACAGAAAACTAACGTGAAGACCCTCCTGGCTTTCAAAATAACCAAGAAAGTATCTAAAAACTAAAGAAATCAAATGTTGGAAGCAGATTTAAGTATAGATGCTTATATCAGAAATAACAAGGTAAAATAACAATCAAAGGATACCAAACAAAAATAACCGTGTTCATATAGATTCAGGGTCATAGAAAACTTGCCTGAGTTTGCATTAAATTACCATCTTTGGGCATCAAATTACCATCTTTGGACAAAGACAACTCAAAGATGACTCTTGGGCATCAAATTACCATCTTTGCCTCCTCAAATCAACTAAGAAAATATAAAATATTAAAAGACAAAATATTTAAAAGTAAATGATGCAGGAACTACTTCTGATTAAAGAAATGTGCATACAATTTTGCAATATGTCTGAGAGAAGTCAGCTGAATCAGTGGTTGAGCATTATGTAGCTTAAACCAATCGAGATGATCAAGCAGACCAGACCATTAACCACCCTCAATCAGCACCACAATATCTAGGATAAAGCCCTTAATCCATTTCTTGGAAGTTGGCATAACCGGGGCTTGGATGTCATGGCATGACAAAGATGTTACACTGTCCAACTTCAGGATCTTCCATTTGTCCTGCCAGCTATGTGATCATCTTCCATGCATACTCTGCATGACCAGAATGACAGCATTTTTCAGCACGCATAACATTGCACCAGCCAGGAACCCGCTTAACAGAGAAATTTTACTATAAACATTCATATTTAATAGGAGAATACATAACTAAAAATAACTCTGGAAGTAAAACATTCAGGTGAGAATCATACCAAATACAGCAATTCAAAGAACAACTCTAATTTATGAGAACCTACATGCACACAATCCAAGGATAACATTCTACAAGAAACGTTTATACATAACAAAGTAGAAGGGAAAACATTAAAATAAATCATTATCATTTCATCAGGAGACTAAGAAGCTCAAATATATATTTCATGACAACATGACTTAGCTTTTTACTAACCTATTGGCATGCTAGAATCACATTCAATCAATCAGATGATTCCTATAGTATTTGACTTTAGTAATTATTTATTGTATATTGAGAAGTGTTCTTTGTACTTAACTTATTAAGAATAATATTCACTGTTTTTAAATTTTTACAATTATATGAAAACAGAGACTGACTGTATTTTTCATTGACACATCTAACATCGTAAAACTCTTTCACTAAGATTTGGTGAAGAAAGGTTAGCAAAACAAAGGACAATTCAAGGAACATGGATGCAGAGGAAGCAAGGATTTTGCTGCCACAGTATTTAAATAAAATAAATAAAATCAACATCTGTTAGATAACATGATATCATTGATTGGCTCGGTATGCTTACGGTGATTAAGATACTCAGTAGCCTGTCAAACAAGGGCTAGACTAATTTCCACTGCTAACTAAAGTGTCAGACAAGGGGCTGGGCCCTTTGATTCACCCTGCCAGCCAGTGGGAGGCCTACTTATTTTGTGAGAAAACACTACAGAGAAGCTCAACATTGTTAACCAAAAAGGGTTCACACACACTCCCAAAATTTCACACTTGACAATAGTTAAGAATGTACAAAACTTGGGTAATCTAGTATTGCCAGATTATCACACTAGTAACGATGGGATATCAATTACTAGCATGCAAAGAAAATATATACATGTTAAACAATATTGACCTGTATAAAATAAAACATGAGTCAAATACCGGCTGTTTATGAATAATTTTCCTAAACCGAAAAAGGATTTATTTCCCTCTCATCCCAAATTCAAGTGGCAAAATTTTTGTTTGAGGGGAATGAAGGGAACACTTCCCCTGCTGTAGTAAAACCACACAAGATCTGGATTAAGATGAAGCAAAATCAAATTAGAAACATTTTAGTAATAGCCACCAATCATTGGTGATTTGAACTATACCTTTATACAAAATAACATTTCAGTCTTCAAGTTCTTTTGATGTATCAAGACTTGGAATGATTTTTGGAAGCAGTCTGTAGGGTGGCCTTGAACTTGACTCACCATCATTACTTAGGAATTTGAGTTCATTTTCAAGAACAGAGTACGCTTCTGAAAACGCCTGCACCAATAATAATATAACTTTCGAGAGATACTACCAGAAAAGCCAAATTCATCAAAGCATAACTTAAACAAAACCAACACCATCAATACAAACATAAATAATCTCAAGAATCTTATTTTAGTTCAATATTAGGTGATTGGATCAACTTCATGGATGAAACCATAAATTTCAATAACATGCAATGAGTTTTGATGAACTTCATCGAGTTAAAACACTCAGAAAAATATCATAAATGGAACCACTAGAGTCCAACAAATACAAGCCCCCCTTATGGTTATCATATGCTTAAATGGGTCCAAGCTACTTGCCATTTTTGTCACACCTTGGGGGTACACTGCAACTTAATCTCTTACTGTCGATTATGTCTTGGCTGGCCATAGACAAGTTTTAGGGTGTCTTCGGGCTTACATCAACTAGAGACATGACTAATATTGAGATCACAATGCTTAAACAATTCTCACCTTACAAGCTAACTTTATATAGTAAATTTACAAAGCTTGCTTGACAGACCTCAACCAAGTTTGTCCATCAAACACAATTTTCAAGAATCATTTAAGCATTTCCACTAAGAAAATAACAAATTGACACATGCCACATGGTTATTCAAAGTACATTTGTCATCCTTGGGCCTTTCAGGCAAATTATTGCAGAAAAATTTGTGGACAGCTTAATTGGTTAATAAACATACTATGAACTGCTTTATTGCCAAAAAAATACATGAAAGATTTAGTTTAACAGCTTGTGCATAATATCAATCACAGGTTTCTTTCTCTTTTCGTCATGACATAGCAAGGCCAGGTATGACAACTGAAATATGGAAAAGCTATTCGTAATCAATACCTTAATACATTGATGAATTCGGAAGCAATTCCTCCCCACATTATTAGTTGGGAAAAGAGGATCATCTATGTGAATTGGATCAATGCTGCAAAGAAGGTAATTTTCATTTGGCTATAGAAAAAGGAATGATAATCACACTGCAGATAGAAAGCTTGGTTTTGTATATTTTACCTACAACCTCTTTCTCTCTTTATATAAAGTCCACTTCCCTGAACTGATATCCGCATTTGCCGAGGATCAAACACATTCCTAAAAGAAAAAACCATTGAATTGAATTCTAACAAAAGTACAATTATATAAGTCCTCTCTAGCAGCAACTATAAATATATATTTGTCTAGTTCTCTCACCCAAAAAAGTAGAGAAAATCCATCAGAAGGCTTCCATAATTCTGCCAAAAAAACACAAGTTTATTTAGTAGCAGTAAAACATCTAAAATAAAAAACAGCTATGGAAGTATGAATGGCAGCCCTCCATAGCCCAGCATGGTTCTTTTATACTAAATACTCATTGATTAAAAGAAAAATAAAGAATAAAATAAGATTTTTCATTCCCTTTAAATTGTCGCATTCTATTCTACCCTAGTTTCAGCCTAGTTCAGATGAACATGGAAAAATATTACAAGTCCTTCAAGTCTATCCACAAATACAGACTTGAATAATAAGAATGATTAGAGTTTACTTGGTTGATCGGACGGCCTAGATGATGCTCATGCTGAAGAAATCGTATAATTAGTAAGACCTGCATGCAAAATTAAAACAAGTGTGGTTTTAGCGGATCTAGACAACAATTTTTCAAGAAACTTAATTGCAAAAACAAATCATGTCTAAGAGGAAGGCAATTAGATATGTTAAACCATTTCCTACACAACATCCACCCCGATTTCAAAAGGAAATTGAATCCATAGAACAAATTCCTATAGAAACTGTGTAAAAAACTTTTTTTTTTTTCACTTTTTCCACCAGATCATCACTAGACTACCGAGAACAAGATTATATGAAACAATTATCATTTCGGTTGCTGATAGATCTGAGAATGTAATAAAATCAAAGAATCTTCATTGGCTATATAAAAAGCTACACCAATTTTTGCCACTGCAGTTCATAAGGGACTTGGATAATTCATTGAGAAATGAAAATTGGTCTTAAGGAACTAATAGTGCATACCAAACAGTAGGAACTTAAGCCACCAGAGTAGGATTGATCAAGGCTCCGATCAGCCAAAAATTGTTTTAGTACCAGAGCAAGAGGTGTGGCAGCAGGAAATTGCTCTGTCAACTCTTTAACCTACAAGAGGCAAAATAAAAGAACCAAAAGATATATTTGAACTTAAGTCCATTATCAAAGCTGAACATAGAACCACAACTCTTTCACTAAAAAAGTTGATTTTGTTGATAGACCAGTGGATTTCAACAATTCATACTATCGGACTTTTATTCAGATTTGATGCTCTTCATCCAATTTATCGTGATATATCAAGCTGAATTATTCAAAAAAAATATTCCAGAAAGGAAGTACAAGAGGAAAACATAAGATATACATTAAGACGAGGAAAACATAAGATATACATTAAGACCCTGTTTAAATATGGTAACAACCTTTTTGCACTACTTCTTACGTTTATCCTCATTAAAAAAGTTAAAATAAGTGGACCATTTCACTGGTAGGTATCCAATTCTGCATTCTACTTATGTATCAGAGCAATCCTAACAACCTACCCTAAGTATCCTCTTGGGATTAATATATAAATTTATGAAAAAACAAAATTTAATAAAAAACCAAATGTATTATCGAAACAAACTAGCATGTTTGAGTCAATTAACTTCAAAGAAAGTATTCACACTTCCTAATTGAGCTTTTGGAAATAAAATAAGAAAGCAATTATTGATCAAATGAATAAAAAATTTCAAGATTGTGAACTAGACAAATAAGTATGTTACTTTCTTATTGAACTAAAGCATACATATGTGTGCTTTCTTGGATATGTTAAGCATATGATTGCGTGTCCTTTCAACCACAAGATGGATAGGGTTCCAATAGGACAAAAAACATATATAACCACTGAAACAAGATTAGTTTACGGAATTAAAAGTCATATAGACACATTAGGAAATCACCATTTCTGTAGTCTGGAGTCCAGTATGTGAAGGGGTCTTAAAGCTGATGTCCAGACGAACTGATTTTGATTTCAAAGCATCAAATTTCAGTTGGGAGCCTTTTGGCGAAGCCAAATCTTCTAACTGGATGGTATCAGAATTACTATTGTTACCTGGGCTATGATGTGGGTTTTGTTTTAATGACTGTATCATAGGAGCTGATGAGTTAATAACATCCTGAGGTACTTCCACCACAAGCATAATAATAGGAATCTGATAGAAAAAAGATACAGAATATTTCAGGCCAGAAATAAAAAGAGTACACTTATTAAGTATAGATAATAACAATTAAAAGGTTAAGAAAGAAGACAGGTATTACAGCTGTGTTTTCCACTGTCTTCAGAGAATCATTTTTCACCCAATCCTGATTGGCAAGATACCTAGCTGCGTGCTGGCACATAAATATAAGAGCATCAATTATCAGATATGCTGAACATCTTTGTTTCTTGGCATTACTATTGCTAAAATATACACATACACTAGAAAGCAGAAATCGCTATATTGTTTCATCATAAAGAAGAAACAATAAAGGTTTAAATCCACCTTTTGCCACAATAGTTTAATCAATGTTTAATTTTGGTCCTTATAAGAATTAAATAGAACATTTAGTCCACCAGTTTGTAAAATTTAAGCAATTATGGTCCAACATTAATATATCATCTAATTGCTGAAGAAATGTTAACATATTTTGTTAGGATATGGGGTGGCAGGGTATAATGGGTAATGGGTTTAGGATAGAAGTAAAGGACGGGAAAGTTTGTTAGACTGTTAGGGGGAGAGAGAGAGTATAAATAAACCTTTTGGTAATTCTGTGGAAGGAGTCATTTTTCTATGTATAGACAGGTCTTGAACCTTGTGAGGGGGATTAAGCCTCCGCTAGGGCTAAGAGGGGGATTAGGCCTCCAATCTTTTTACAGTGTTGATTCTTTTTACAGTGTTGATTCTTGTTACAGTGTTGATTCTTGTTTGTGTGTGTGATTGGGTTGTCTTAGTTAGGTTTCTAACTCAGGAACCTAACAATTTGGTCTGACCTGTCAAATATCCTTAGGAGAGGGGTCAAGAACGGATCAAGAAGTGGTCAAGAAAGGGGGGAAGCATGGAAGGAAGAGACAATTCTTGGGAAAGGAGGATCAGCGAACAGAAAAGGGAGCTAGCAGAATGGAGAAGAAATATGCAAGAAATGAGGCAGGAAACCAGAGAACTCTTGCGAGTTCTTAGAGGAAGGGTGTGGAACCAGGAAAAGGGATTAGAAGGCAGTCTAGGGTCTGTAGATGAGGATCAACATACTGTTAACGAGAATCATAGAAGGAGAAGGGAATGCTCGGGGCAGGAACGAGAGCGAAGACGAAGGGGGGAAAAATTAAACGCATTAGAAGGAAGAATGGAGGAACGAATGGCGGCAATGGAGCCGTCAATGGATGGACGAAAGGCGGAGATGGAGTCGTCAAGGGAGGAAATGAAGGTGAAAACGACGGCAATTCGACAAGACTCGACAGCCACATGCCAGGATCTTCAAGAAGTGAGGCGATTATCGGGGGGACGGCACCGCATTCAAGGGGAACTGTCTGACGACAGTCAGGCGCTTGTGAACACCAATAGGAGTACGAGACGCGAGGACGAAATTGGGGGCGTAGTAGGTGAGCGGTTCAATTGGAGGAAGAGGGTGGAGTTGCCCGTGTTCGAAGGATTAGATCCATTGAACTGGATAAATTGAGCAGAGCGATTCTTCGAATTTCAAGGAGTAGTGGAAGAGGAGAAGGTACGATTAGCGTATGTGAGCATGGAGGGGAGCGCTGGCTACTGGTTCAAAGCTTGGAAGGAGAAAGCCAAGAATCGTTCATGGGATGGTTTAAAGGAAGCCCTGGTGATAAGGTTTGGAACCATTGTTGAGCGGTTGACAGCATTGAGACAGACGGGGACGGTGGACGAGTATGTAAAATACTTCAAGATATTGGTGGGTCGAACGAAGAGGGTACCGGACGAGCAGCTGTTGGGATATTTTCTTGCAGGATTGAAAGAGGACATCCGGAATCAAGTTCGACAGCATGAACCGCAGGAATGGATGGTGGCGATGCAGATCCCAAGGGATGTTGAGGAGTTCCAGAGAGTTGCCGAACAGTCTGAGGACAAGTGCTATAGCTCATACCGATCGGGAGTGGCCGAGCAGTCTAGGCCATAGAAGACCATTTGTCTGGGGGACGAACGTGCGGTGAGCTAACACGGTCCGAGGCCAATTGCTATAAACCAGGCAGATCGAGAGTTGTCGAGCGGTCCGAGGACAAGTGCTATAGCCCATGCCGATCGGGAGTGGCCGAGCGGTCCGAGGCCATAGAAGACAAGTCATCTTGGGGACGAACGAGCGGTGAGGTGACACGGCCCGAGGCCGCTATAACCCAGGCCGATCGAGAGTTACCGAATGGTCGGTCGGATCCGAACAGGAGAAGACTGCTGGACCCAACGGGAGAGGCTTGACGAAGCCGAACGGGCTAGCACTACAAGCTGCGAACCCGAGAGGACTGAAGGAACCGAACGGTCCGGAAGCGAACGGGAGAGAACTGCCGAATCCGAACGTGAAAGGACAGGAGGAACCGAACGATCTTACATTTACAGTCAAAGGCCGAACGGTTTTACACTCAAAACAATCTCCTAGTCATTGGCCGAACGGTCTTACAGTTACATTGAAAGGCCAAACGGTCTTACAGTCCAAATAATCTCTCAGTAATTGGCCGAACGGGCTTACAATTAGAATGAAGGCTAAGGAGGGAAAGGTGGATGGAAGAATCAATGGCGGGAGAGAAGGATGGATTTTGTGAAGAGGTGGACCAGCAAACAAAAGAAGGGCCTTGTCGTTCGTGAGGCACCTGCAGAGGGGAGAGAACTTTTTGAAGCTTTGAAAGACATCGAAGACCATTTCTTCAGGGATTATAATTCTGGAAAAGATGTGACCAGAATGCTGGAAGCTAATAAAATCCAAGAAGAATGGAAGTCATTGGAGGAGGAATTGCCACCACCCAAACCTCCAGACCTGAATTGGAGGGCAGTTGCCAGAGGGTTCCATTCATATGAGTACACGATGATGAAGAGGAGCCATGAGATCAAGCCTCCCGTTTCCAACCTTGAGGACAAGGTTGTTCTGCAGCGGGGTGTAATGTTAGGATATGGGGTGGTAGGGTATAATGGGTAATGGGTTTAGGTTAGAAGTAAAGAGCGGGAAAGTTTGTTAGGCTGTTAGGGGGAGAGAGAGAGTATAAATAAGCCTTTTGGTAATTCTGTGGAAGGAGTCATTTTTCTGAGTATAGACAGGTCTTGAACCTTGTGAGGGGGATTAGGCCTCCACTAGGGCTAAGAGGGGGATTAGGCCTCCACTAGGGCTAAGAGGGGGATTAGGCCTCCATTAGCGCTATCTGTGTACTTTCTTTGAATATCAATACAGATACCCATTCTTTTTACAGTGTTGATTCTTGTTTGTGTGTGTGATTGGGTTGTCTTAGATAGGTTTCTAACTCTGGAACCTAACATATTTTCAGTGATAACAGATGTTAAAGCTTATCATTAAGCATTGCAATTATTATTTTACGAGAAAAAGTAACTAACATCATTATTACTGACAGGCACGTTAACATTTTTTGCTAAATATTGGATAATGTATAAGCAATGGACCAGAATAACTTCATTTTTGAAAACTGGAGCACTAAACGTGCAATTAAATAATGAGATCAAAGTTGATGAAACTATGGAAACCAAAAATCAATTTCAGCCAAGAATAAACAACACAGTAAGAAATTATTTTTAAATATGATCAAATAAATATAATCCACACAGAATCGGAAAGATCAATTCACAAGATCTGTACCACACACATAGTGCACGAAGATTGAGAGGAAAAGCAACACATTCTAATGTCTCAATTCCACAATATAAAGGTCCTAACCACCAACTACTATCATGCCAATATGTTTATTTTCAATCATCTCATGTTATTTCTAGTTTTTCCAAATAAAATAAACCAGTTTGTAAAATTTGAAAATGACAAATGAAAAGGCAAGAGCAGATTATTTTAAAAGTGCACTTCATATATTCATGGCAAGAGTCACGACTCAATTTTAACTAATCCTTGTAATGTAGATGTGAACACACAACAGACTGAGTAATCAATGCCAGGTAGCAGAATATGCTAAGGGCCAAACTATGCCGTATAAACAAGCCACTTGATCCTAGCAATAGCAAGCCTCCCTTCACAAATTGAATATGGCAGCTAGCAAAACCCCTCATGTCATTCTGCCATGATGGACATGGCACTTCCATTTAACAACATTCACTTCAAATAGATGGAGAGTCAAAAGTGTAGGTAGCAAAAAGGGCGTCATTTATTGCCAAGATACCTGAAGACATGTTTCTTTAATCCCATTACGACCTTCCAGTATTCCAGCTTCTTTAATAGGTTCCTGGATTTTTTTTATCAAAAAAGTTAAAACAGAGAATGTTAATCTGTCAGAATAACGAGATGCCAAGAAAACAATTATATAAAAAAGGTATAAAATTTACCAGGTTTCTCACTGGAGGTAGACCAACCACAAGGTCAACATCACTTGTTGGAAGGGACATACCAGTTGCATTGGAACCAAATATGTTAGTGCGGGATCTAGGCCATAGAACCTGCAGAAATCGGGTCACTCTCTTGACAGCCCAATTAATGTAAGGCCTCCTGGCCATATTTTCTGCAGCAACCTGGATTCCGTTATAAAAATTATAAGCAACGTGATTAGCTTCTTTTGTCTTCTGATGATGATATCAATAAATAAAAGGTTTCTATAGATTCAATAGCAATTCTATTTCCCATGATTTTAACAAAGGACTGGAATGCAAATAAAAAGCTGATAAAAAAAAA